CCAAGTAATCTAATATCCATCCATTCGAATTTCCAGGTGGTCTAAGATTGCGCAGCATTTACCAGGGCGCACGGACAATGAAATAAAGAATTATTGGAGGACACGTGTGCAAAAACAGGCCCGACAGCTGAAAATAGACTCCAACAGCAAGAAGTTTCTAGAAGCTATAAAAAATTACTGGATGCCCAGGCTTCTTGAAAAGATCGAACAAAATTCATCCCTCTCAGCATCATCATCCTCCTCACTCGATTCCAGTACAACCAACAGTTTTACGGCCCCTTCAATAGATTTACCCCCCAAAACAAAACCGGCCAACAGTAATAATTTATCCACGAGAATACCCGAGATTTTAACCCCGAGAGCCTACGGTAAAATATTCCATGCATGCTCCTCACATGATTGTTACCACGTGGATATGCCAAGCTGTGACATGCAAGGGCTGATTGGGAATTCGGCTAATGATTGCCACGTGGCGGAGATGGATTGGTTCCAGGAGGACTTCGGGAGCTCTTTTTGGGACACGGATGATGAGTTGTGGCAATTAAGGAAGTTGGAAGATGATTTTGCGGTGTAGACTGACTAGAGTGGATGGGTACTGTACAAACCAATAATGACGAAATTGCCCCCCAAAAGTTTCACAAATAATTACTTTTGAAAATTATAAATATCCCTGTTGGAAAAAGAGATATTTGTAATTTTCAAGAAATAATACTAGTACTTTTTTGGTTTTTGGTTTACTTAGGCTATACTTAAGGGTATTTCACTATTTCTTGTAATTAGCCGTACCAAAGGTGTAGTAGCCATTGTAGGTATATATCTATTTTAATATTAGGATGTAATAATGGTTTTTCATTAGAGATTTGTAATGGCTGGTCACTATATGGAAAACTCTTGTGAGTGTTAATCATACCCAACTATGTACAGAATTAATTTCAATTGGTATCGAGTCCCATATTTTTCGTGTTACCAACGTTTAAATTAATCATCAAGTTGATCAAGTTGGCACAATATTTATAACCCGAATATCCAAACCATATATATAATGCACAGGAATCCTTCACAAAATCCTCCTTCAATCCTTTTAATAAAACACTGGCGGTTGTAATTATTTAGGACTGTGTCGTGGATGTAAAAAAATTCATTTCATATTTAATTCAACTCAATTTTAATTTAACTCAACTCTCCTTAATATTATCAATATAATTACATCATATCAGTCAATCATTTTTACATATCACATCAATTTAACTTATTTTTTCATCAATTCACATAATTTTTAACTAATAATCACTTCACATCATATATCTCATACTTTTATATCAAATCAACTTTTATTATTATATTTTAAATATTATTTTAATATAAACTCAAAAATTTCACTAACTAACGATATCATTTATTTTTAAATTAACCTTAATTAACCAAAAAAAATCATTTTGTATCCAAGCACACCCTTAGATTGTGTTTCTAATTTTTTTTTCCTTTTTGCTCAATTAACTGGTTGGATTTAGTTGGACTTCTTTTAATATTTCAACTACAGCCCATAGCAGATTAAATATATAGTAAACGAAAAATATTTACCCTAACCCAACCTAAATATTGGTCTTTAGATAGAAAAATAATTTGAGAATGGGTCCTGCAACTTTTCTGAAAAAAAGAAAAAGAAAACTAAATTATATAACTATAGTTCTCAAAAGGTAAACTTTTAAAATTGGTCCTATAATTCGGCCACAATCCAAAAAATCACCCCTATATTGACCACTTTCAATTTAGGTCCTATAATTTGTCGATTTCATCAATTTTGGTCCTTTTTTTTATCCTAACCCTGGATAAAAACATGATGTGGCGTTTTTAAAACTGACATGGCATAATTGTGTATTACGTGGCCGGATTATGAAAATTCCTTCAAAGTTAAATGATCCACGTCAGTTCAAGTCCCTAGTTGCAATTAAGTAAACCTTTTGAATTTGTAAAAAAGTCCATAAAACTTATTGAATTTTTAAAATGAGCCCCTGCAACTTGTCTTCACCCATTCACGTTCGCCGATAGCCTCTGCCGTTCGCCGGCCGCCGGCCAACGACCTCTTATCTGAATTTTCTTTATATCATCTTGAAGCTCTTCTCATCCTCGTTCCATCTCCTAAAATTTCAGATGAAAATTTCATCGATAAAACCGTCAATTACTCTAGTCAAAGTTTTTAGATCTTGAAAATTTTGGTCAAAATCCGGCTTATTCTTCAATTTTCCGGCAATTCACGGCGACCCACCAAAATCCTAGGACACCTCTGGACTCCTTAGGCCGCTGCACACCCGATGATGTCCACCATCTGTAGAACCGACTAATTTTTCGTGGCCCCGTTTTTTTCTGGCAACCCGTTTTTCCACGGTGGCGAAGGCGAGGGGGATGTGGAGGCGTTGCTGCTGGTTGAAGGGTGAACGTGCGGCTGCTGGATGGACTCTAAAACAAGCAATGGTGTCAAAACTCTGATCTGTTGGTTTTTGTTCGGCTTCTGGTTGATGGTGTCGTGTTTCTTTTTTCTTTTTCTTTTTTTTTTTGNCACGTGTCTGTTTAAGTTCTATTTTTTTGGTTTTATTTTTATAGTTTTTTTCCCTATTTCCACATGGCATTATTGAAATATCAAATTCAAATAAAACCGCCATGTCAGATAAAAAATCGCCACGTCAAATTTTTATTCCGGGGCCGGATGAAATAGGACCATAAATGATGAAATTGACAAGTTATAGGACCTAAATTGAAAGTGGTCAATTAGGGATGTTTTTTGGACTGTGACCAAGTTATAGGACCAAAAATGAAATTTTGCCGTGCTCAAAACATAGGGGCTTTTAGGAGCTATATTCATAATTTAGTAGTTGTGCCATTGCCATACATGTAGATGAGGCATATGGGGGCTAAATAAATGTGGGGTTTATAATTGACCACAATAATGCTAAAAAAAAAAAAATTGATCAAATCAGATGAGGTGCAGTCAGTTCATCTGTGTAAGAAACCGGCAGAAAACGGGTGCGGGCCCACTATCATGAAGTGCATCATGAACTGGGAAAAACCCATATGAAGCCCAAGTGGGGTTCCATCCCAAAACCAATTGGTGGAAGGAGGAGTAGCCCATTAGTCTTATAAAGTGGGTCTATTTTCCATGTATGGATGATATGGGACAACTCACAAATGATATTCTAACACGCCCCCTCACTTGTGTGTCCTTCAAAAGTCCAAGTCCAACTGGCTGGGTAACGCGTACGTCATCGCACGGTCACCAATAGAACCGGCTCTGATACCATGACAGAAACTGGGGAAAAACGAGTACGTTATCGCACGGTCCCACATAGAACCGGCTCTGAACATGGTTGAAGTGACGGTTTTGGAGGGATCAAGAGTGATGTCTAATCATATAAGAAACTAAAATAGAGGAAAAGTTGAGAAAGAGTGAACATATATAATACAGTAAAGCTTTTATCTAAGTTATGATAAATTCATTATCTTTTAGATTGATCTTTGAATGAACGCTTTGGAATTCAACTCACTTACGCAAATGCTCTTAATCAATGGAATCCACCGTCAATAAATTTTGGGCTGATATTGAAGAGGAAAATGATTCTGATACATTTCTTCACCACTCGTGACAAATTTGGTTTATGAAGATCTTATTTACTTAACCAAATTGAATGATTTTCAATCTTGGCAATTGGTAGTCTATCAACGTTTCTACACCAAAGGAAAGTACAAACAAGAGAAAATATTAGGCTAAGGGTTTAATATTCGTGCTCTTCCGTCTTAGCTGGATGGTTGTTGTATATGTCTATAAAGCACCCTCAAACAACTTGTACGATTACAACGGAAGCACGGCCCATTAATACTACAACATAACCTAGGCCCAAGAACATCGGTATGATCGGTCAAACACTGGGACAAAACAAACTTGTTAATCGCATGCTCTCCCCTATCAGCAATTGTCAATCCCAGCGATCGCCGACCGTCAATCTCCCGGTAGAATATGAGCGCTCTCTGACATACTAAACAAGTAAGTCGATCACTCGTCAACAAATTGGCGCTTAAAGGAAGGTCTGATCACTTATTTCGGTGAATTCACCTTGCAACAGTTAGATCTCTCTATATGTCTCACTTTTTCAACCCTACTTAACTTCAACCTGAGGATAACACTCTTCTCCCTCCCGACGTTGTCAATTTAATTCGCAATCCTACCTTTGTCAAAGGCCTCACAAATTTGTTTCTCATATCCNACTCATCAAAATCCCAGCCAAACACAAAACCCTCAAATTTAGGAAGTCCAATCCATGAAAAATACTAGGGACCTTGATAAACGAAAAGAAAAGCAACATCTTGAACATTCTAATCATTTCAAAGATCGTGAAGGAACGGGCGACAGCCAAGCCCATATGAGTTCCAACCTGAATACCGACCAGGACACAAAATGAAGATGTCCGTTAACAGATTCCCAAAAGAATCCTCCATAAAGAAGCTAAGGAGATCGCATCACTTAAGAAGAGGATCGTCGAACTCGAAGCTCAGCAAACTCTAGAAACCGTCAATCAGGTTATCTCTAACCCCCTTTCATCTCCTGATGGTGCTTCCTCCGACCTTACTTCACCACTACCTTCACATATATTGATCGATATATCCTCCTTAGCAAGATCAAGGTTTCCCAAATTGGTCCTTTCCATGGCGACACTAATCCAGTCGCCCACCTGGGATCAGGGGCAGATCCAGAAAAATAAATTGGGGGGGACTACATAATTTTCGATAAAGACATATAGTTAACAACAACAAATATATAAAGTTGCAATTTTGGAATTAAAAAAAAATATTGTGCTAAAAAATACATATCTTTCAAACTTCGCTACAACTTGAATTGTGCTCGACGTTCTCTCAATTCACGAAACCCATCAATGATTGACTCACTACTAATAGATCTTCCAATTTCTCTCAATTCCGTTTTACTTCAAAGTCTGGATTTAACAATAGCCACAACCGAGAATGCATGCTCTGTTGTCGCCGTAGACACAGGAAGAGTAAGAATCAACCTTACTAATCTATCAATCAACGGGTATACCAAAGACTTTCTACTTGTTGCCATCCATTGAACAAATCAGAGATAGTACCCAAAGTTTGAAATTCTAAATGCTGGAAGACATCAATCTCGTAATGTTTCAATTGAACTTGCAGTAAATCTTTTTCATAATCTTTGAAGTCGCTAGGACAGAATTCACCAACAAGGAGGCAACATCATCTATATTTGAAGATAATTGAGAATTGCGAGGGTCGAACATAGAGCTAAGAACAAGTAGCTTCACTGCATGCTCACTAAACCTGTTGTTTAGCTCTTGCAATTGACAATCTATTATAACCGTAAAAATATTAATATGGTAATGATCCCCGACTGTAAACAGATTTTGCTTGTTCCGAGATCGTCCTCCTCTTTCCACATATAAGGCATTAATATCAGGCATATCTATTGCACGACTTTCACAAAATGACTTTAACTTGGCTAAGAGACTGTTATATCCACCATTTCTCATTTTTTGGATAAGACACTTTGTC